GGCACAAGTATACATATGTAGCAAACCTGCACGTTGTGCACATGTACCCTACAACTTGAAGTTTAATAATAATAAATAAATTAAAAAAAAAAAAAAAGAAACTGCTTTCTGATGTGTGGATTCATCTCACAGAGTTAAAACCGTTTTTTTGATCTAGCAAGTTAGAATCATTCTTCTTGTAGAACCTGTGAGGGGACTTTTGGGAGCCCATTGTGGCCTATGGTGAAAAACCGAATACCTCCATATAAAAAATAGAAAGAAATTATCTGTGAAATTGCTTTGTAATATGTAGATTCATCTCACAGATTTCAACCTTTCTTTTGATTCAGCATGTTGGAAACACTCTTGTAGAATCTGTGAAGGGACATTTGGGGGTTCCTTGGGGCCTAGTATGAAAAACTGAATATCCTCAGATAAAAACTAGAAAGAAGCTATCTCTGAAACTGATTTGTGATATGTGGATTCATCTCACAGAGTTGAACATTTCTTTTGATTCGGCAGGTTGAAAATGCTCCCCTTGTAGAATCTGTGATGGGACATTTGGGAGCCCATTGAGGACTACGGTGAAAAACTGAATATCCACACATCAAAACTAGAAAGAAGTTATGTGTGAAACTGCTTTCCAATGTGTGGTTTCATCTCATGGAATTAAACCTTTCATTTGATTCAATGTCTTGGAAAGACTGTTCATGTAGTATCTGCAAATGGACATTTGGTAGCCTATTTTGGCTTATGGTATGAAATACCAAATATCCTCAGATGAAAACCAGAAAAAGACACCTGTTAAACTGCTTTCTGATGTGTGGATTCATCTCACAGTGTTAAACCTTACTTTTGTTTCAGCACATTGGAAACTCTCTTCTTATAACATCTGCAAAAAGACATTTGAAAGACCACTGAGGCCTATGGTGAAAAATGAACATTGACAGATAAAAACTAGGAAGAAGCTACCTGTGAAACTGCTTTTCAACGTGTGAATTCATCTCACAGAGTTAAACTTTTTTTTTTTTTTTTGATTTAGCAAATTAGAAACCCTCTTCTTGTAGAATCTGTGAAGGGTAGAGTCCATTGCAGCCAATTGTGAAAAACGGAATATTCTCTGATAAAAACTGAGAAGAAGCTATCTGTGAAACTGCTTTGTGAGGTGTAGAATACACTAAAAGATCTAAACCTTTCTTTTGATTCACCAGGTTAGAAACAGTGTTGTAGTTGAATCTGCAAAAGGGCATTTTGGTGGCCACTGTGGCCGAAGGTGAAAAACCAAATATCCTTAGGTGAGACCCAGATAGAAGCTACCTGTGAAACTGCTTTTTGATGTGTGGTTTTATTTCACAGAGTTACACTTTTCTTTTAATTGAACAGATTGGAAACACTTTTTTTGTGAAATCTGGGAAGGGATATTGGGGAGACCATTGAGGCCTATGGTGAAAAACCATATATCCCCAGATAAAAACTAAGACGTTATCTGTGAAACTGCTTTGCGGTATGTGGATTTATCTCACAGAGTTAAACCATTCTTTTGAATCAGCTGGTTGGAAACGCTTTTTGTAGGATCTGTGAAGGGACATTTGGAAGCCCAATGAAACCTACTGTGAAAAACTGAATATCCTTAGATAAAAACTAAGAAGCTATCTGTGAAATTGCTTTGTGGCATGTGGATTCATCTCACAGAGTTAAACCTTTCTTTTGATTCAGCAGGTTGGAAACACTCTTCCTGTAACATTTGCAGAAGAACATTTGGGGGCCCATTGAGGCCTAAGGTGAAAAACAGAAAATCCCCATACAAAAACTACAAAGAGGCTACCTGTGAAACTGCCTTGTGATGTGTGGATTCATCTAACAGAGTTAAACCATTCTTTTGACTCAGCAGGTTGGAAAACCTCTTCTTGTAGAATCTGTGAAGGGATATTTGGGAGTCCATTGTGGCCTATGATGAAAAACCATATATCCCTGGATAAAAAGTAGAAAGAGTCTAACTGTGAAACACCTTCCTGTTGTGTGGATTCATCTCACAGAGATAAATGTTTATTTTGACTCAGCTGGTTTGAAACACTCTTTCTGTACTATCCAAGAATGGACATTTGGGCACCTCTTGAGGCCTATGGTGAAAAAACAAAATATCCTGAGATAAAAACTAGAAAGAAGGCATCAGTGAAACAGTGTTGTGATGTGTGGATTCAGCTCACAGAAGTAAATCTTTTTTTTTTTTTCCTGTTTCATGGGGTTGGAAACAGTCTTGTTGTAGAATATGCAAAGGGACATTTAGAAGGCCATTCATGCCTATGGTGAAAAACAAAATAGCCCCAGAAGAAAACTAGAAAGAAGCTATCTGTGAAACTGCTATCTGATGTGTGGATTCATCAAAAAGAGTTAAACAATTCTTTTGATTCAGCAGGTTTGAATTACACTTTTTGTAGAATCTGTGAAGGGACATTTGGAGACTAATTGAGGCCTAC